CTTGCCTAGATGAGCTGGGTATCATGTCCCCCTATGCATCTGGACATGCTGTCCACTGCATAGGCATCAGCAAACTGAAGAAGCCCAGTCCTGATACACATACTGCAAAGTTGGACCACAGATTCTGTGATTTTTCCCTGTGGCCAGGGATTGAGTCCAGTGGTCCAGTTGGGGATTCCCTCCCAAGAAACCTTGCTTGAGTTAACCTCAGATTTGACTTGTGTGCATCAGCCAGTGCAGGGTCGAATTCGATCTGTTACCTGCACCAGCAATGCACATACTGGTAAATGCAGCAATTATCTGGTCAGTTACGCCCCAGCCCTATATCTCACACAATCTGGCAGGGGAGCTGCATACCTCCCTACAAGACCTGATCCTCAAGTATATCAGTGGGTGCTGTGGCCTAGTCAGTCGACATCAATAACCCCTACAAGACCTGCCCCATTCTGTTTTTTCACTTGCCAGTCTCTGCTTTGTCCTAACCAGGTCAAGCCCACATCCAATCCAGGTCTCACACACACCCATATGGGTTCTTCCATGTACTGGTCCACTGCACTCAGTAGACAAGAAAGCTGAGAAGGAGTGGTTCAGATGGGGGAAAACTGGAGAGAATGTCTTGGCCAGACCAAGGCACCTGCCCACTTGAGAACCCTGGGCTGGGCTAAGTAGCATCCTCTGCTTTGCCTTAGTGATCACAAAAGCTGGGGCCGGGGAGGAGCTGAGGAGGGTAGGGTGTCTACTGGACTAGGCCACAGTATTTGCCCAAGAGTATTGGAGCAGGAGATGGAGCACATCACATTGCACCACAGAACCCAGCAAAAATCAACAGAACTGGATCTGGCAGGATGGATTCTGTATGTGCATTGTGGGCTTGATTCTGTGGGAATCACAGAATCAACACCCAGCAGTTTATACAGAGAAAAGGGGTGGTGATGGGTCAATCCAGGAAAACCACAAAACTCACCTGGCAGGAATCCACCTGACACACAAAGAAGCGGCATAAGTTCGGATGGGGTCAGGCTGCCAGCATATTCAATGGGAAAGGCTGAAGTCAAACCATGTCAAGCAGGGCCTCTGTCCCTACCCCTGCTGGCACATGTGAGATCAGAGCTAGGAACAGACCTGATGTGGAAACAAGGGGAGCTTGCAGCTCGATCTGTGTAGCATCGGAACCAGGGCAGGGCGTAGGCTTGGACAAGCAAATCTGCACCACTCCTCAGCATTTGTGTGGGCAGGATCTGGCAACAAGCCAGGCTGAACCAGACCTTAGGACCTGTTGGCACGCAGGAAAGCCAAGACAGGATGTGGACCATGCTCAGCTGGGAAAGCTGAGAAACACATCAATAATAAATCAGACTGTGGGTAGGCCAGGCAAGGCTAGATCTAAGCACAAACAGGTATGCACAGGACCTTGGTCAGGGAACGGGTCGGGAAGGGGAACGATGGGAACTCCCCCAATGACCTGCAGCTCCCACTGGTGAGTAAACAGCTGGGCTGTGGTATTACAAGGGTTGGAAATACTGCAGCACTCATGGGAATACCTGTGGGCTGTGTCTGGAGGTGGGCAAAACTAGGCTAGGCTCCAGCACTTGCACCTACTGGTGCTTACAAACACCAAAATGGGTGTGGAACAGGCAAGCATAGGTTGTGGCACCCACCAAATCACATGAGAGCCGGGACTGAGGGTAAGGCAGGATGGGATCAGCTCTAACACCCATCAGTGACAACCAGAATGGGTACAGGACAGTCGAGCACTACCCACTGGTGAGTGCTGGAACTAGGGGAGCCATGGCAGTCTGGGTTGCTTGGAGTGGCCTGGTAGGTGAACTTGGAGAACTTCCCTGCCAGGCATAGCTCCTGCTATGAGAGAGCAAGAGATATGGGGCTGGGGAACAGGTTAGAACAGGCTGGGCTGAGCTGCAGCACCTGTTAGCGAATATGAGAGCTGGGTCTGAGGGAAGGCTGCACAGGATTAGTCTACAGCATACACTGGCATGAGTGAGAGCCAGTACATGATCGAGGCTGGGTAAGGCCTCAGTACCCACCAGCGAGTGTCAGAGCAGTGGGTGGGCCATATCAGGATAGGCCACGCACCCAATAGGACACAAGAGAAGCTGATCTTGGGAGCAGATTCTGTAGCAGAATTGTGGGTTCGCCTCTGTAGGACTGTAATACCTGATGGATTACATGGAGAGCTGGGGATGGTGATGGGCAGAGCCAGGCTGGACCACAGAGCTCACCTGACAAGAACACACTTGACACTGATGGGGACTGGGGCTGGAAGAAGTTCAGCTCCCTCTACAGAGCCTTAGAGTCAGGAAGTGACACCAGCATGGTAATGAGAGAGTCAGGTCTGGGGTGCTTCAGGCTGTAACACCCACAGTGAGAGCCAAATGGGTATGGGGCAGTCAAGCTAGGCTGCACTACAGCATATCTACAACATATCGTGGCACGAGTGGGAGCCAGTACATGATGCAAGTCAGGCCAGATTGGACTGCAACACCCATTAGTTCACATGACGGTTGGGTGTGGGCCAGGCTGGGTTAGGTTGCCACACCTACTGGCATGCACAAGAGCCAAACTGAATGTGATCAACTGAGTTAGGCCACAGTACCAGCAAGAAAGTGTCAGGGCTGGGTACAAGTCATGTTGGATGCACCACAGTGTCTCCTGGCAGGCACAAGTTCTTAGACTGGGAACTTGCCTGGCAGGAGAATGGTGGGCACTCAACTGCTAAGCTACTCCTATTCCTGGTAAGCACCAGAACCAGGGCTTGCAGGGGTTGGGCAGGTTAAGCAAGGCTGTGTCACTTATTAGCATAAGTGAGCACTGGGTTTGGAGGCCAGTTGGCCCAGCTCAGCACAAGAGTTGGATGACATTTGGCTGTGCTGAGCTGGGCTGTGGTGCAGCAGAGGCTGGCACATGCAGACAGACACAAACACAAAAACAATAGGAGGGCCAAATGTTAGTTCTTTGGGGTCACCCTGACTACGCCTGCACTCACTGGTGCAAATAAGAGTCAAGTCTGAGGTCACTCCAGGTGATGTTTCTTACGGGGACCCCCCAACTGGACTAATGGACTCAAACTCTGGCCAAGAGAAAATCACAGGATGTGTGGTCTGGCTTTGGAGTGCGTATATCAGTACTGGGCTTCCTTAGTTGCTGATGCCTGTACCATAGACAGCTGTCTCACCAGAGGATGGAAAGGCAAACAGGTTGAACAATTCTGGCCAAGACTGCAGAAATTGTATGGGTCTGTGGATGTACTAAGTTTGACTTGGTCATCCAATACACCTTGGAAAGATTTGTTCAATTTTTATGGAATGAAGCCCACATCTCAGAACCATCAAAAGCACTCAGGTAATACACATTGAACACAAGTCCCCACATCCAGGCTCTCCAAGGTATGATAAAATGACTGTCCCACAACCCCAAGAGCTGATGTAGGTGACAGTAAAGACTAGACCCGGCACTGTTGCCAAACTCAGTGCTCACAGAACATAAAATTAAAACATGAGTCCCACACACCTTCTTCCCAACCTTGCCACTACCCATATGACAGGAGGTAAATACAGACCAGCATTTCTATAAACCATACAAATGAAATGAAAAATAAAATAAGAAAGTTTTTTTTAAACAAGAAAGTACAACTTCTGTTTGCATGTCTCTCCTGTCATGCACCACAAATCTTGAAGCCTCAGAGATCAGAATGGACACATTGAGTGCTTTGTCTGCCAGTGCACAGGAGGAGCCAGGATGGCAGAAGCAATAACTGCTCTCCTTAGCTTGCAGGGTGTCTGTGGGAGACCAGGGACCTGGGTGTCCAGCTGCGGTCACCTGTTCTGATGAAAATTCCCAATGAATGCAGGAGAAGGGAAAACCCCAAACCACAGTCTCCCAGCAGTGCTGATTCCCCAAGTCCTGTTCCCATTCACCAGCACCGGGCTCCATGGTGCCATGGTCCACCTCTGCCTCCCCTGGTGAGCAGACTGGTCAGCACGGGGCCCAGAAGTCACCTCAGCCACCTGTGACAGGAGAAGTCCAGGCTGCAAGCACAGCATGGGCACCTGCTTCCCCAGGTACCCAGCAGCAGGACAGCCTGAGCCTCAGCCTGTCCCAGGTACCCAGCAGCCTCCCAGACTCCTTGGCAATGACTGTCTTCAAGCATGCCCTGGATCCTGCCCACCAGCTCTGCAACATCAACAGCTCCACTGACTAGGGTCACCAGAGAGATGCCCAACATGGCTCCCTCTTGTTCCCCATGAACTGCACAGCCTGTGGACATGGAGGGCACCAAGGCCTCCTGAAGTTCATCACCCGCCATTAGCAGCCAAGGGTCCCCTGTCCCTCCCTGACAGGGGCTTTGCCGAGACACCATCTCAGGGGAAATGTCCTGAACACTGACTACACTGGGGATGCACCTAGGGGTGGGACAGGGGTCGTTCTGGCATGATCAACACAGACTTTCCGGACTTGTACACCTTCTGAATTCCATAGTATTCTATAGCCTTCGTGACACATCTCTCCAGGAAAATGCACAATTCCTCATCCATCCATAAAATGGTCAGCTCTACAAAATCTACCCTCAAGAGCCCTTGTGTGTTTCATATCAAGTCAAATTCTTTGGCTGATAATATCCAATTATTGTGTTTTATTGAATACGACAAAGAGACAGAGAGCGCATGCGCACTAGCCCTGGTCTGAACCCAGCATGAGGAACCTTCGTCCTAAGGCATGCTGGGGTCACGTGCGCTGGTTTAAAGTAGCACGCGAGAGCCAGCCCAATCAGAATCTTTCTCACTTGGATACAAGGTCACGACTTGCAAGCGTTCCTCTGAGTGGCTGGTGAGAGTCCACGCGGGAGAGCTGACCAAGCCCACGCAGCTCCACGTCACAGACTTGCAGTTTGTGACGTCAGGCCAAGCTGCCTATATAAAGAGCGCAGGCTTGGGGCCTCTCGGCTTGTCTGTGCTTCCCAGCCACAAGCCACTGCCTCCGCCATGGCTGAGCCGGGCTCTCCCTCGCCTGCTGAGGAACCCCTGGTCTGCCAGGACCCCGAGAAGGCGTCCTCACCCAACGGGAAAGAGGAGAAACCCAGGCCCCGCCACCGCCACCGCCGCCGCCGCCGCCGCAGCCGCTTGGGCACCAGCCAGCAGCCAACCTTCGCCATCTATTTCCCGAAGGTTCTGAAGGAAGTTCACGCAGGCCTCAGCCTGTCCAAGGAGGCCAAGGCCGTCCTGGACTGCTTCGTGAGAGATCTGTTTGAGCGCATTGCTGATGAGGCCGCCAGCCTGGTCCGCAACAAGAAGGGCTCCACCCTGACCTATAGAGACATTCAAAGTGGGATGCGCCTCGTGCTGCCCACTCAGCTCTACACCTACGCCGACAGCCAGGCCAACAAGGCCCTCATTAAGTTCATCTCCAGCAAGTGAGCCACCTCGGGCCTCCTGTCCCTGCCCACCCGATGGCCACCCTCTCAGCGGGAAAGACCTGCAGCATTGCACACGGGGACTCTACCAGGGCTTGGGACAGACCGTGCCTGGCATATTTCGTGGACACTCTTCATGGACTTACTCACCTCATCGATTCTACTAGATTCTCTATGATGGGTACCATCTCCTCCAAGGAGAATGGGGAGAACTTGTATGCATTGTGCATTTATTAAACGCCTTATTCAATGCTCATTTCTGTCAAGTGTGTTCTTGTAAGATAGCTCCTTGTCCCAAAGCCAGTCATGGTTTTTCATGTTACTGTTTGTTTTTCATACTCTCCTTAGCCACAGGGACATAGGTGAGATGATGGGCAGCTTTAGTGTGTATGAAATGATCAATACATAGAATTGATTACCTCGCGTAGATCACACACACGTCTTCCACTTTCCCCAACACATCCTTTCCCTGAATTCACAAGAGCCAAAATTTTTGTATACAGAATGTCATGTGTAGTACATGACACAGTGATATTTAGTGAATTGAAGCCATTCTAATAAATGATTGGTGGAAGCCAAGTTTTCCTTTTTTTTTCTTATTAGTTTTGTAATATCTGTGAATGGTATCAAAGTGATACTGGGTACAGGCAGAGAAATTTCTTCCTTCGCATAGAAAATTGAAACTAGATAGATATCCTCAGCTTCCTCCATGCCTTGTTCCTGTTCTTCAATGAAAGGCTTTCAGACTGAAATAATTTTGATGTTAAGGATAAGCTGTTCAGAATTTTCCCTTAACAGAGAGAAAGAAATTGCCCTTCTATTCATAGACTGTGAAGGTGTGTTTGAGACAGTGAGAGACTTCTACCAGCTGCTTTGCCTGCAGTGCTGTGGCTGGAAGTGTGTAGCTGGAAACTCAGTTCAGCTCTCCCACATGAATGATGTGATCCCAGGTAATTGAGCTGAGGCTGCTGCCTCCTAGCATGTGCAGCAATGGGAAGCTAGCTTCAGGGGTGGGGCTAGGACTCAGCAGGTTCTGCAGTGTGGGATGTGGGCATCTTAGGTCAAACACCCACTCAGGTTTAATTTTTTTTTAATTCATTTTTTTGGTCCACTTCTTTTTCTACATGATTGATATGATCAAATGGTTTTTCTTTCTATGTCAATCTGAAAACTACAGAAATTTCTAAGATTTAAATTTCTTGCTTCTGCCAACTCATCATGCAATATTCCAAGTTTGCATGAAATAGTCCTAGCCAGGGAAGATGGCCTAGCTCTGAGATTATTTTCCAGATCCTCTCAAAAATTTAGTATGGTTTTTGTTGTTGCTGATTTTTTTTTTAAAGAGTAGCATTCCGGGCCCGGCGCGGTGGCGCAAGTGGTTAAGGTCCTCACCTTGCAAGCCCGGGATCCCATATGGACACCGGTTCTAATCCCGGCAGACCCACTTCCCTTCCAGCTCCCTGTCTGTGGCCCGGGAAAGCAGTCAAGAACGGCCCAAAGCCTTGGGACCCTGCACCCGTGTGGGAGACCCAGAAGAGGCTCCTGGCTTCGGATCGGCATAGCATCGGCCGTTGCGCTCACTTGGGGAGTGAATCATCGGACGGAAGATCTTCCTCTCTGTCTCTCCTCTCTGTATATCCGCCTTTCCAATGAGAAAATAATAAAAATAAATCTTTAAAAAAAATAAAAACAAAAAAAGAGTAGCATTCCTTGTATTAACAGAGATGAAAAACTAATATGATTTGGGGCAATCTATAAAGAAAGGCTTTGGGAGAACTGTTAAATATATTGTGATATGTGTCTATTGTATTACCACTTTGTTAGCTCTATTTGAAGAGTGATATTCTCATGCCTCATTTCTGTCAGATTTGTCTGTGCTTGTTGCAGGAAGCAGGGATGTAGGACCAAACAAGCAAACAAAAATTCTCAGTAGATTACTCTTAACTCCCTTATTGAATTCTAAGTACCATTCCTGTCCATCATCTGAACATTTATGGAGATAACTTTGAAATTTATTTATTTCCTTTATCCTTAGGTGACATCCAGTTCTTCCAAGCCAAAGAGATGATAAAGTAATAGACACACTAAACTGGCTGTTCGTGAAATATTTATGTTGATTAAGTCATAAATATCCTGCTATACAATAGAACATGTATGTTTTCTCATTCTACGTAAGGACTCTTATTTTTCAAGTTGGATTAAACTGTAAAATTTTAAAATATTATTTATTTTGGGACCCAATGTGGTAGCCTACTGGCTGAAGTCCTCGTCTTGAATGCGCTAGGATCCCATATGGGGGCCGGTTCTAACCCTGGCCACCCTACTTCCCATATAGGTCCCTGCTTGGGCCTGGGAGAGCAGTTGAGGTCCCAAAGCCTTGGGACCCTGCAGCCATGTGGGAGGCCTGGAAGTGGTTCTGGACTCCTGGCTTTGAATGGGCGCAGCTCCAGCCGTTGTGACTGCTTGCGGAGTGAATCAATGGACAAAAGATCTTCCTCTCTCTCCTTGTCTCTGTATATCTGACTTTGCAATAAAAATAAATAAATCTAAAAATATGTTATTTATCTTTATTAGAAAGGCAGATTTATAGAGAGAAGTAGAGCTATGGAAAGATCTTTCATTAACTGGTTCACTTCCCAAATGGTTGCAATGGCTTTCCCAGGCCACAAGCAGGGAGCTGGATAGGAAGTGGTACAGCTGTGACACGAACTGACACTCATAAGAAATGGCAGTGCTTGGAGGTGGAGGATTAGCCAAGTTGATCCAACATGTCAGCCCCGAAGGCAGGAGCCTCTTCCGGGTCTCCCACACGCGGGTGCAGGGTCCCAAAGCTTTTGGGTCGTCCTCGACTGCTTCCCTGGGCCACAGGCAGGGAGCTGGAAGGGAAGCAGGGCTGCCGGGATAGAACCGGCGGCCATATGGGATCCCGGGCGTGCAAGGCGAGGACCTTAACCACTTGCGCCACCGCGCCGGGCCCATGTACATGGTATTTTTTAAAAAAGATTTATTTATACTATTTGAAAAGCAGAGTTAGAGAGAGAGAGAGAGAGAGAGAGAGAGAGAGAGAGTTCTTCCTATCACCAGTTACTTCCCAAATGACCACAACAGCTTGGGCAGGGAAAGTCACAAGCCAGGATTGTGGAAATCCATTTGGATCTCCCACATGGGTTAGGTAAGGGATCAACCAGTTGGGCCATCCTCATCTACCTTTCCAGGTACATTAGCAGGGAATCTGGATTGGAAGTGGAACAACTGGGAGTTGAACCAGTACTCACATGGAATGTCAACATTGCAGGTGGTGGTTTAACTCACTATGTCACAATGCTGGCCCTAGTCCCTGACACATTATTAAGGGGAAATTATATTATACAACAGTATATGCACAATTACCAAATTTTTATTTAGAAAAACATATGAATATTTTTATAGAAAGAAACAGGAATAACATGTATTAAAATGTAGGGTTGTCCCAGGAGCCCTGAGCAGTTCGCAGAAACAAAACAGTAAACTTCCTTCGGGACTAGGGAGGGGAGCTTTCTCTAGTCCTTGCTTGGTTCCAAATTTGGATCCCCACCCTCTCCTGCAATGACCATCAGGATCACTCCGGACACCCCGCAAAACAAACAAACAAACAAAAAATCTAGAATAGATAGAGAACAACAAGGAAAGCTTAGAATCAGACAGGAAACGGTCATCATGGATTCATTTATATCTTCCTAGGTGGGACACAAAGATTAGTTACTCCTCACTAGGGTATTGAAGATTTCTCTGCACACCCCTCCTAAAACTGTTCTGCACCTAAACTGTTGACATATGTCTTGTTAGAATTATAAGCTAGTCTAGACTACCCGAAAAAAAAGCCAGGTTCAGCAAAATCATGCTTCAACGCTATAAAATGCTAAATACTAAAATGAGGATAGACACGAGACAGCTGAATAGTACCCTATAGCCATTTTAAGGTGTATAGAAGCTGGTTGTATATAAACTAAAATCGAAATATCAATGAAATAGTCACAGGATATGGTAAAGAACTTGCATTTTTAAAAACATATTGGTTACTCAATACTATGTCAATTAATTCCATAATGTTATAAATTGTTACTGATATTATGCTGGGGCTTTTACTTGATCGGGATGATACTCTGCCGGCTCTACCTTCAGACCAGAGATGGTCCCCCCAACAAGCTGTTGAATTTATCTGGGCAATAAGATGCTGGACTCTATGCTTGGTATATGCTTGCAATGAAAGAATCTCATGTGAACTTGAACTGTGGTAATGCAACAAGGTGGAGGAATCCACCATGGGGGGGGAGAGTTTGGGGAGGGGTGGGGGGAATCCCAGTACCTATAAAACTGTGTCACATAATGCAATGTAATTAATAACAAATAAATAAAAATGTAGTGCTGTCTGTAGAATTTTTAATTGTATTCTGCAGTTTTCCACCTTTTGGTAATAGAGTATAATTTTAAATTATATAATAGTCAATTCTGTAAAAGCTAAATAAAATCATGAACATGTGTGGTAGGGAAAGACACAAATAATTTTGGAATCTGCTTGATTGAACCCAGTATCATTTTAACACATAATGCGCAATGCAAAAGCTTGCATTTAGAAAACTTGTTTCTGCTCATGCTAATCAGTACATATTGACATACATTTATATTGTTTGGTGCATTCCTGAGCTACTTTGAAAAAAAGAGAAAATATATTTTTCATTTTTTGGCAACAGATTTCTCAATTATGGCATAAAAGCAGGAAGCAATTCTTTTATAACAGACTCCACTTTGGGAAAGTACAATAAGTGGCCTAAAACTTTCAGAGCACATTTGATTCCCTTACATATGCATGTACTCATTCACACTGTTTTATTCTGCACAAGGGAACTTCAAAAAGTTCAGGCAACAGAATTGAATGATAAGATTGGGAGGGGGCAATGTGAAACACTTTTAAAATTCATACCTTGTTTTGTACTATACATTTCTCACAAACCTTTACCTTTCTAG